CAAGTGATTCCTTGAGCATTATCAGTTGAAGTATTAAAATAATGACCATTAAGATTTGAATAATGGCAGCTATTATACCACCAGGCACCAGTGTACTGCTGAGCACAGTGACCTCCTGACCATGGATCATTATCATTATCTCTTGTACTGAATCTCAGTCCATTATGATTGGCCAGACTATCCCCAGCAGTACCAGAGTATCCTCCTACTGTTAGTATATATTCAATACTACCATCACTAACACTGAATGTAGAGTAGTTAGCATAAGCTGTGTTCCCCTCAAAGTCTCCCAGGTCCACTCTTAGTGTGTTTGATCCTTCTTTAGTAAGACGATGAATCTTGCTCAATCCTAACCAAAACTCACCAGTAAGGTTACCAAATCCATTCTCATAGTCAGTCCAGTATCTATAGAAATCAACAGATCCATCTTGTCTCCTCTGAAATACAGTCCATCCACCACCATCAGTCTCCATATCACAGTATACCTGTGATCCAATAGTGTATACCGTATAGCCACAAAGTTTTGAGGCAATAAACTTTCGTGAATCAGGCCACAAGTCTTTTTTCGCAAATCAGGCCACAAGTCTTTTTTCGCAAATTAACTTTCGCAGTTCTTGTTTTAAAGCACACGTGTTTATGGGCAATACGGATATTTCACAGAATTAACTTTCGCGAATACGGAAAATCCGCGAAAACAGTGAAAGTTGTACCCTCGAAATGCGGCTATACGGTAATTATAAATTACTTGTAACTAACTTCAAATGGAGTCCCTCCATCAGGATTAACAGTATAAACACCACTAGTAGTATAACCATACTCAAACAAGCTCTTACAGTCTCTATTATCTAGTTTCATGGTGTCAGTATATTATTAATGTTTTAATTATTAGTTTATCTTACCTAGTGGACAGATTTGTGGCCTTACATCAGGACATACCATGATAGTCTTCACTCTTCCTTCTCTCATACGAATAGTCTGTCCTAAGTTACTGCTCTTACAGCATGTCCTTATATACAGTGATGGTTCATGTTTATATCCAGTACAATCAGCCATACAATAAGATCCTTCTCCTTCATCAATGGTAACTATTAAACACAGCAACAACAACATAAAGATGAACATCTTTGACATTTTACTAGACTGTATGTGAGTTTGACAAGGACTGGAATTTAAAACATGTATCACCTGAGCTTCTGTAGTGTATGTTTGAATTTTATCCGATAGTATAAATGATTTGCTAGTAAATTCCATTTTTAGTTGTACTACTCAAAAATTATGCCACCTATCTCTGTGTGTTTAATAGGAACTGCAATTAATGAACTACTTATGTACCTACTATAAGGAAAATCTTAATTATTTGTGAGAACAGTCGTAACATCATGGCCTGCCATATAGCAAGAAAAATTTTTTTAAAGAATTTAAAAAATTCTTTTAAAATCATGCAACTAAAATAATCTTGACAACTGATTGAATACAATGTATGGGAATAAAGTGGTACTATGTTTGTACATGTTGGTTTAGAATGCATGTATTGGTGTTGTGACTCATGTACTGTACATGTAAATGTATGTAACTCAATGGTTTCACACGTGATGACACGAATACAATTTGCTGTAATTCTTTTGTTAAGATGTTGAGTTACTCAGGACTTCTGCTTGCAAGATACAGTACAAGATGATTTATTGGCAAGGGATTAATATTGGCGATTGGCAGTTCTATGAAGAAATTGCCAATATAAAACCTGTCATTTTGTTTCAATCTGAGCATGCTCAATGGCACAAAATTGCCAATATAAAATCTGCCAATTTCTTTCCACAGGCAAATTCGCCAAATATTACTCCCGCCAATAAATCATCTTGTACTGTAACTCATCTTTAAATTAATACAAAATTCATTTACTGCCTCTCTCTCTCTCTCTTCTTCCCCCCCTAGGGTCTTACTTGGGCTGAAAGAACTGACAGAGATTTATACACCCACTCTGATTCTGACGTGTTCCTTAAATCCAATGCAGCTGCTCCTAAAGTGGGCGGAGAGAGAGTCTGTGCTGGTACTGATATTGATGATCCTTGGAACTCAGAGACCGAGTCTCGAACTTTAATTTTGAATAAGAAGAGTCCTTTGCCTAAGAGAAAGGACAGTTTTGAGAAAAGGTAGAGTAAAAATTTTGAATTAATTTTATTTTATACCAGTTTATTTTTGAAAATTTTTTCTCCTTGGTGTTATAAAGTTTAAGCTAACAAAATTATGCGTCTTTATTGTAATAATGGTGTAGTTAGCTAGCTATTTGCAAAAATCTCAGAAATAAAGAATTTACAAAAAATAAATGTTAACCCCTTTATATTTTCTCTTTCATTTCAGAGGAAGATCCTCTTATAAAAGGGAGCCAATAAAATCCTCTGTTACCACGGCAACCAGTAGCTCCACCCCCTCAGCACCAAATGGTAGCCCCACCTCTCCCAGCACTGCTGCCGATACTAAGAAACCTTTAAAGAACCGAGCTGTCGTTAATACGTCAGGCATTGCAAAGTATCTGGGGAGAGATGATAAAAAGGTCGTCCTGGCTAAGAGAGACGTGGAAGAGACAAATGGAAAGAAAGGTTTGCTAGGTATCAGAAAAGTGTTTGTCCTTTTGTGTTTATGTTAAATTGTCATGATCATTAGAAAATCAAAATCACTATAGTGTGGAAATAAAGAATGATAGCTTGGTTAAATGTACATATACACCACAAAGCAAGCTAAGTGAGCTAAACAGCATGAGCTTCATGAGCTGACAAGCACTACAATACAGTACATACATGGCATTTCAAGCAACTTAAATCCAAAATTCGATTGGAATTGGCTCAAACTTTATACGCAAAATAAAAACATGTATATGTATCAGAAAAAAACTATAAATAATTTAAATAACAACAATTGTCTATAATCTATATATCAGGTTCGCCACCACCTCGCACTGTTTGGAACATTGATGCTGCCCCAAAGTCTCTACCAACGCGTCAAAGAACCTTGTCCGGATCAACCACAGACTCTACAGCTTCTACTGACCGTCGTACAACCTTTGAGTCGTCATCAGCTGAACCTCAATCAAAAGGAGGACGAGGGAGAGGGAGGGGAGGTCCTAGGAGAGGAGGGGCCAGTGTGGCTGGTAGAGACACAGCTCATATTCCAGACACTCAAGACATTGTCAGCGTAAGTTTTGGTGTTTATCTTGAATTTCATTTCCTAGCTGTTTGTTACTGAGGTTGATTGTACCGTTGCAGCATCTACACAGCCAAGAGTTGGCACGTGGATCAGGCCTGATATCAGGCATGGACATGGATTTTGAGCAATCAGTCCTAATACAATCATGGGTTCAGCCATGATACAGGCATGATAAGCATCAACACTGGATCAGGCCAGACCGACTTTTTAAGATTCAGCAATGATGGCTGTCAGTCCTGCACCAGTACTGATATCAGGCCTGATCCAGTAATTTTGGGCAACAGCCCTGGATCAGGCATAAAAATTCTTGGCTGTGTACCTGACTACCTGCATATACATGTACATGTGTATATTTGTACCGTAGGGCGCCTTTTTTCAAGTGCTCTGAATTTCGCAGATTTCGCGATTTTTTTAAAGATTCGCAAAAATTACTTTCGCAAAAATCAAATTAATACAGTACAAGATGGCAGATGGCATAAATTTGTGAAAATTAAATCTGCGAAATAAAAATCCACGAAATTTATAGCCCTCGAAAAAAGGCGCCTTACGGTATGTCACACTTACACTTCTTCATCTTGTATTGGAAAAGTAATAATTAAGAGTCTTTACATGCATGTACCTGTTTATGCTTCTTATGTGAAGTATGTTTCTACACTGCAAACAAAACCGTGTCATTCAAAAAGGTTGAGTTTCTAGCAAAAAGATCCTATATATATGCTAGTTACATGTACATGTATGCATGTCTATATGCATGCAAAGTGGTGAAAACAATTCTAGAAATATTCTTCTGTTATAATACTTGTGTTCTTTTATTATTATTTTTTGTTTCTCTAGTTGTTTGTTAAGAACATTCCTTCCTCCTATTCCATTCAAGACATCATTGATGGTTTCAGTCCTTTTGGTAAAGTGTATGATGTAAGGAGACTACCACATAAGGGTAAACGTGGAGAAAAAATACACTATGTGGTAAAGAGAGAATCTATACAATATATTGTCTAACAGTGTTAGATTTAGAAAGAATTTAGGAGACTTGCTCTCCCATATTTGGTCTAATGCCCACCATCCACTATTCAACTTTTTTGAAAGCAACTTTGTGGTTACTTTGATGTGCTGTCAGCTCTGTTGCCTAAAATAGAACTCAGTTCTATTTCAGGCAACAGAGTTGCCCTAAGATCAAAGTAACCACAAAGTTGCTTTCAACAAAGTTGAATAGTGGATGGTGGGCATAAGTGTCCATTTATCAGCTTTCATATTTTAGCATAGGTGTCCTTAAGTTCTCCCATTTTTAGCTAGATTGGTCTCCCAATTTTTATTTCTAGATCTAACATATCTATTATTAAGTAGTATACAGTCAAACCTCTCTAAGATGGACACCTATGGGACAGCCATCACTGTCCTTTATACAGAGGTGTGGAGGTTATCCCATGCTAATCAGACCAGAAAATCCGCCATTTTCTTGATGTGCATTAATTAGAAAGTCCGTTGCGTGGGCCGTGTTGGTCTATTGGAAGTTAATTTGTATATGTGTAGATGTGTGGGGACA